ATAGTGAAAGGGAAAAGAATTCAAAGTAAGCTTGGTTATTAACTTACTCAATTGAAAATGTTCACGTGATTATGTTTGAAAATTTTTCTGGCTTTTAATTAAATCTCAAAAATGGCATTTAAAAGTGAGAACTGGGAGTAATGTTCATAATTAGATTTGATTTATGTTTGCATGCACATAATTTATGTAATGCATTGAGTTGTGGTGCGCAAAATTTAAATGAAACACAATTTTTGTATGTGAATACAACACATAATTTACAATATGTCTATAGGTATTTTCGTTCTGTTTAAAAATTTTACAATCCATGGGGAATTGTAGCGTAATCATATTCAGACATGAAATTTGTGTGCAAAAGTCTAATTTTCAAGGTAAATCGTATTAAAAAAAAAAAACAATTAAATAATAAAATTATTTAATTTTACTAAATTTATATACCACTATTAAGAGTTTAAGGTCATGCATACTAGTACAATAGATAGATAGATTATAAGAATATATACAGAAGTACATATTTATTGTATTTAAAAACAACTTCGTTTTTAGCACTTAAAAATATATAAACTTTAGTCAAATTGATTTAAACAGTAATCTTCGCTTCAGATTACATAGACTTGCATTTTGTATTTAATGTACTATAAGTAAAATTTGTTATGATACACAATTCTGAATATTAAGATTTTTTCTAATAGACGCCTTAAAGTCTACTTTATTTTTAGTTCTTTTTGTTATTACACCCATTCTGCGTATATAAAAATATGTCTTTCTGTTTTTTGTTTTCATACATACACATATACATTAGAGGTGCCAAAAAATATCAATTTTGTTAAGATTGGGTCTCATTTAGAACAGTAGCGTCTAAAACTAACTGGTATTAAATTTTAGCCCTATTGGATAACGGTAATTATTTGTAAGTCATTACTAGATTCTTTCTAAGTAATGCAGATGGTATGTAGTAGTCATTGTTGAGTAATGCATTACCATGTTTTGTATGGAAAATTTAAGATAAGATTTGTTTAAATGTTAAGAAAAGATAATACAAATAGCACAATTTTTGAAGAAATCAAAAAATTTTACACTTTTCAATAGATTTCCGGCACGGGTTTTTGACATTAATGAGCAAAATAAGACCCATATCCATACAAAATCGATATTTTTGGGCGCCTCTAATGAACATATATTTTATTAACCAAACAACGACAATAAGGCAACAGTAACATTTCGTGCAAAACAATCAAAGAATATATGAACACAAGAAGGGGTGGCAGAAGAGAAAAACTATTCGGTTTCTTGGTTTGTTTATTTCTGCTGAGTTCGGTTGATTCTGTGTTTCGGTTGTTCACTGTCTGGCTGACCAAGCTACTTTCAACAGCTTTTGTTGTGGGTTTAAAGAAAACTTTATTTGTATCACTAAAAAATAAGAAATGAAATAAAAAACAGCAAAAATAAAGAAAAAATTGATCTGAATTTTCTTTGCCCCCATCCTTTGAAAGCTGCATAAAAACACGAATGAATACCCACACTCTCAAAGTAGTTCATTGTTTGTGAACAATAAAAACTGGGAGAGAAGAAAAAAGCTTATAATAAAACGCAAAAAGAATAAAGTCTTTGGATCTTTTATAGTTTGCAATACGAATACTTATAAGAAATTACTTTGAACTACCTCAAAAATTTGCTACTTAAAAAGTTTTTCTTTTTTGTGATTTTTTCAATTACTCTTTATATTTTCTATATAGTTTTTTTGCTATTTAATGAAAACAATTTATATTGATTTTCTTTTTTATGCCATTTTCTTTTATTATTTGCCCAGTATTTTATTATATTTTATGCATTTTATTTAAGTGAAAACAAGTTACTTTTGTTATTAGGATTTTGTATTTATTGCACATTCATACCTACAAATGCATATTAAAATATTAAATTTTTACTATTGATTTTTATAACTTTTTCAAAACTTAATTTAAGTTGCGGTTAGAATATTAATACAAAACTTTTTAATTGATGTTTTTAAAATTTAATAAAATTAACTGTGCTACAAGTAAATCTTTCCCGAATGAAACTAATGAATAATGACAGAACGAATTTTTGACAAAAATCACCAAAATGTTTTAAAAAGTTTCATGTTGTTAATTTAAACACATTCCTATATAAGTACATACATACATACATATGTATGTATGTAATCCAATGACGTAGCTCAATTAATTAAACAGTTTACATACTTGAATACTAAGTAGGGTGATCGACTCGATTCTTCAACCGGTTTTAAAACCGGTTTTTTCTGCTTTACCAGTGTCGGTTTTTTCTAAATGTTGATTTTTCGAATATCGAATAACCCGGTTTTTTCACTTTTTAAAAACCGGTTTCGAATACTTTTATTTGCTTTGTATTCAAAGATTATTTAAATGAAATTTTGAAGTAAATAATACAGCCCGTTTAAATTTTAAAAATATTCGAGTCCAGGAACTAGGATACATTTTTCTAAAGCACCATTGGTTAAACTTTTTTGATTTTCCTAACTAATTAAAAAATTTTATTTGTAAAATTGATAACTGTTTAATAAAATTTTATTAATCTTAAGATTATATTCCAATTACAATAATTAATTTACCGCTGCAATATTATGGAAGTGTTGGAATGCCTATGAAAATTTCCTAAAAGGGCTTTAGAATAAGCTAGGATTACATAGTACCTTATATTTAACAGAAGTGTCCACTTTTTTCCTATTTTTTTTTTTATATTAAAGAAATAATGTAAATCAAACGACTAGATCTAAAGTTATAATCTGTTAAACTGTTAAAAATCATTTCGGGCCATGTTTTATTAATCAAATTTAAACATAAACATTAATTTCTTCAAATTAACATATATTTTTTATTTATTATGAAAAACCGGTTAACCGGTTTTTTCTGAATTTGAAAAATATCAACCGGTTTTTTTGAAATGTCAACTATTCGAACTATTCGAAAACCGGTTTTTGGAAAATGTCGAATAATCGATCACCCTAATACTAAGGCCTTAGATATATAATTTTGCTAATTTTTATACTTTTGAAATTGGTATGCAAGTAGAATGGATTATTATAGTACCGTTCTAATCTTGTATATGTTATTGCTTGTCATAACATTTTCTAAGAAGATTTGGCGAATGGGAATGTAAAACAGTAAGCGAATAATTCGCATATACGAAAGCCAGCATTTGTTACATCCCTAATAGGCTTATCCCAGCAGTTCGATAAAGAGTGTGTATTCACATGGTAGAACCTACAGTTCAACTAAGAGTCAATCCTATATAGGCTAAAAGGTGACGATTGACTTTCTCGTAGGACAAGCCCATGTAAAAGTGGTTAGTTACCTGTATAGTCAGGTTGCTAGGGACCACCATAAGTGGAAGGTTTAGTGGTTAGTTCGGGACTGTCCCCCCAAACTGCTGGGTGCAATTTTATTTTAAGTTTAATTTTGTTCTCTGCATCATCGTCATCTTAACAGCATTTTTACCCCAATTGTTACTGGCATTTTCTAATATATTTAAATTTTTGCTGTTGAATAGAATGAGCACATTATGTATAACTTTATATTTTTATACCCAAAATATTTTTAATATTTTTATGTCAAACTCATTACCGAAATAATTGACATTACAAAGCCCTCATTCAAAAATACATATTTTTTTAATTACCACGATTAATTTTTTTTAAAAATTTACAGATATCGATATTTGATATTTATTGTAATTAAACAGTTTAAGATGACTTTGTAAAGTGTTAATATATGTACAAAGTTTTTAATATTTAGTAAACAATTTAGTGGCAACAAATAAAGAATCACAGTCATGAGGAGAAAATAAAAGTGGCGCCAGAGAATACATTAACATAAATTCACATATGTCACGAAAAATGTCAACATGAATTTATATAAGAAAAATAAAATTGCCGCAATTGTTGTTTTATGTATACTAGGGTGGCCCCAAAATAAAAGTTGCTGGTGTTCCTACCGAAAATAAAAATTTAGTTCATTCTAAGATACTATTTCTCAAAATTTTTGTCCTGACGTCAATATTTGGTGAGTTGAATCAATGGATAAAAAAGTCCCTTTTTAAGGTTTTTATGATTTTTATCATATTTAAAATTTAGTATCATATGAAAGGTCTTTGGGAGACGATTTCAATGATATAACACAATTTTGTATACAACTCCAAAATAATTACAAATTTCGTAATTTTTCAGAAAATTTTTAAGTTTATCAAATTTCTACATAGAATTATTGAATATAATTAATTGAAATTATTTCATTATAAACCTCATTGAACTCACCGAAAGGGTTTTTTCTTTTGAAATTCGATATGTTTTGTATTTTATTTAAATATTTTTAATCCTATTTTCTCCCCGGTATTGTGCTAGCTATACTTATCTAACGTACATACATAATATGTAATTCCGTATATAAGCAATTTCATTAGCTTTACATTGGTATATACCACTTATTTTATAATAAATCACTTTTTTTTTCCAAATGTCAAATTCATCCGTGTTAAAATCTAAAAAATTTCCCGAAAAATTAGAAAATTTCGATTACTTTTGCTGTTACACAAAAATTTGTGATATGGAATTTAAAGCGCCTCACAAGAACCTTTTTAATGATACCAATATTTTATATATTTTCTTTGGAAGAAATATGAAAAAAAAATCATCTCAAAAAAGGACCTTTTTATCCTTTGATCCAGCTCACGAAATATTGACGACAGGGCAAAAATTTTGAGAAGTAGTATCTTAGATTCAATTAAACTTTAATTTTAGTTGGGAACATAGACACCTTATTTTTTCCTCCATACAAACAGGACCATCCCAATGTATACACATACATACATACATGTAAGAGTATCTAATAATAGTTTTAGGCCATTTTTGTTTACTTTTGCTACTATTAAGCTTTTTCATGAAGTTGTTTTTATTTTAAAATTTTTACTTATTTGGTGCGTATATTTTGATTCTCTTCTTGCAGAGTCCTTGACAACAACATATTCAACGCCATATTTGTCATCGTTAGACGTTACAACAACAGCGTCATCGACAAATTTGTTGCCATATTTTGACTTTGATGTCCCGCGCAATATTACAGTGACGGTGGGTCAGACGGGTTTCTTACATTGTCGCGTGGAGAGGTTAGGAGACAAAGATGTAAGTATTTAAGCAGATATGTGAGTAATTAATCCTTTTCATTTCAAATCGATCAAATTCCATTAACTAGGATTTGAGTGAAATTTTTCAGAATATACAATATCTTTCGTGCTTTCCAAATAATCGAAAATTAATTTCAGTTTTCTTATTGAAAATTTCCAGCTATCGTTATTTTTATACTCTCCATCAAAAAGGTGGTATATCTATAGGGTATATCGTCACCTGAAACGCAAACGGCCCTAACTATTAAAAAATTTATAGTTGATTCTAATGTATTGCATCAAAACAAATGTCCATACAATAAATTCGACTCCTCCGACCAAAAAAGGCTCTATCTACAAAAACATTTAAATAATAAAGTTAAAAAGTCCAATTTATCCACTTTTATATACGCCATTGTCAACTATCATAACAATTGATAGGTTTCACTATTAAACAATTTGTTTATTTACTACGCGTTGATAGAAACAAAATTTTCAATTTGAATTGTTTTTGCTTCTCCTGTAAAATTTTAAAAATGTTAGAGCCGTTTGCGTTTTAGGTGACGATACGTATATTCTGCGTTCATATTATATTCTGACACGATCTGGAATAAGTTAATATAGTCAAAAGAAGTCTTATTTGTAAATTTACAGCTATCGTTCCTTAAAAACTTGTTTTATAGAAACCAAAAACTCTCGCCATAAATAAGTTTTATAGAAATTAAAATCTATTTACAAAGTTTTATGAGTATCTGCCCATAATTGGCACACCGCCCAAATAAGTATCATAAAAGCATGATTTTTTTAAAGAACTTACTCCAAGCACATTTCACTATAAGACATGCTTTGATGATGAGTATAAGATGTAGCCGAATATAACACTCTTACTTTTAAATCTTGCAGGAGGTTGTCTTAAAATAATTTACTCAAGATCACTCAAAATAATATTGTAACGAAAAAAAGGTGGAAAACATTATAAATCAGAGTGAGAGATGTAGTGAAGCTACTTTTTCTATGACTTATAAATCCTCGTTGTGTTTATCGAATGTGACAAGGACATTTACTCAATTTCGAATCTACACACATACAAATTCATATGTATATATTCGCATAGAAATTACTAATTTATGGGCCATCAATCACTTGTTGTAACTTGTGTCATTTGATGGATGCATGTGTATTTTACCGAAAGCATTTGTTGTTGTTCTTGCCTGTACAATGAAGCACATGTGGTACCAATCTTCCTATTAGCGTAAATTAAAAATATTACTTCTATAGGAAACATAAACCTAATACTGGCTGATTTTGTTTTATTTCTTCTTTAGTGAACAAATTTGAAAAAAGCACACATTGAACAATGTAAATTTCAGCAATTATTTTAGAGTATTTAAACCAAACAAACAAACCAAAAAATGGGTTTCGGAAGAGACAGGAAGTTGTAAATTGTCATGCTTTCATTACTGTCAAATAAATCTTATCAAATTGTTTACATATGTATATGTACATATTTCTGATTCATTATAAACTCATGTATAGACACTAATATTTATATAATGGGTGGTTATGTATCAAAGCAAATTAAAATCTTTTTAAATAATAATTTAAATTCGGTCAATCAATACAATTGAAATATGGATGCATGATGTCAACATTAACGAATTTCATTAAGATCTATTAACATCCGGGAAACTTTAATTTCCCATACAGATTTTCACAAAACGTCCAAACTACAAATTAGTGTTTATATAATGAGTGACTTGTATTATAAATAAATAGATTGCAGTTACTGATTAATGTGTTGTTTCTACATAGCGTGTGAGTACTTTGAGTAAAAATTGTAATTGTATTTTTCATTGTACTTTGAGTAAAAATTTGAGTTGTATTTTGTCATTGTAACAAAAACAAATACAAGTAAGATTTTTACTCAAAGTACTCGCACGTTATCTAGAAACAACATACAAGTTGTTTGTTGTAACCCATATAGGAGTTATGATGTTAATAATGTTAAGCGTTATAAAAGCGCAAAAACAACTTTATTTGTAAAACGTTGTATGCCATCTAAAAATCCATTCTTAACTTTAAAATAAAGCTTAACATCTGACATATCTTCTTCGAGATATCTTCACCTTCCATACTACACTTCTGTAGTACGGAAGTTATTATGTTTGTAAATATTGTTTATAAAGAACAAAAACACTGGGTCTACACATAACTGAGGATGTTTCAATCGATTGAAAATCACTTTCTGATTTGATTTAACGATGTCCATCATTTTAGCCATTTTAGATGATGATATCTCGAAGACGAAAGAAGATATGTCAGAAAGTTATTCGGATGCAGATGCTTTAGAAAAATAAGCTTTGGTCTCTGTCGGCCTGTGTAATTTTCCATTTAACAAAGGTTTTTTTGTCATCATCTTCGAATTTAGTAAATTCCATCAAATTCATGTTCCATAGATAGAGTGTTGCACATTTCAATCTCGTTTAGCCATCAAAAAATAAATTTTGCCATTAGCCATATTTATTTGCATTTAGCCATTTTGGCCATTTAAAAATTCAGCGAAATGCCTGCTAAATCGCATAAATTTATTGACTTTTTATATTATTGTAAGATGATCGAGCTTGTTTTTTTAAAGCAGACAGTCCAATACAGAGCACAAAAGTTTCATCCTTTTTCCAGAGGAAAACTATTTTAATAACTTTTACTGAGACAATAAGATCGATTTATGATCCCTCATATGTCTGAAAAAAAAAATCATTTTCAACTTGGAAAACTCAAAAAACACAAATCGGTTAAAAAGGATAAACAGTTTAATTATTCTTGTGGATATAATTTTTAAATTAAATTTGAATTCAGATTTTGACATGTTGCGTAATTTCTCCCAAGTCATGTTTCGGTGTCTCTGACTCTTCTGGTACTACAGTTAAAATATTACGATTTGTTTCATTATTAGTTTGCTTCAATGCCAAATACGGTGTCTTGAGATTCTCAAGAATTAAGCGTATGTCACGGGCAGACTGCCACCATCTATGAAAAATATTTTATATAAAAAACAGCTTGATTGGCTTTTCTTTATGCATAAATAAAATAATAATTTTTACTCTTAAATAAATTTTTTGTACCATGATAATCTAAACAAATTGTAATAAAGTTAATAGAAACATCAAGCCCTACTAACTAATAGGAATAATAAAATATAAACAGCTCAGACAGAAAACAAACTGGAAACTTTTATAACCTTCGTTGGAGTTAAATAAGAAAAAACGTGTAATTGAGTTTGTATAAACAAATTTACATTAAGGGTATAACCAAAATTGACAGTTATTCTGTTAAATATGTGCTACGAGCGAAAATGATTTACTCATGTTACTTCATCGCGTTCTATATGAAAAGTTATATAATTTTCTTTCGTACTTTTTATGGTTTGTATTGAAATGATAGGCCCGATTTATTATTAAAAACAAGTAATAAAATATAGACGAACATGGCGTACCATATGTTACCATACATCTGATAAAAAAAATTATGTTTTTTTTTTTATAAATATGTGAAATTTTACTTGTATTTATTGATTGGGGGCTAGTGTCTATTACATATGTGCCGATAAAATTCGGAAGAAGGATTTCATAGGATTTCTGAGCCTATTGTTATACTTTAATATTTCAAAACGTTATACACATCAAACCCATGATATCCTCCCTCTTTACTGGTGTTGGGTATAAAAAGGTATAAAAGTTGTTCCCTAATATACATACGTACATAATATGTGTTATGTATGTATTTAGAAAGAAATTAAATTTTAGAGTAAACTTCTAGAGAAACTTAGTTTTTGTTTAGAAATGTAAAAAATACTATGCAAGTTGCATTTACTAGAATAAATATTTAACAATATGGCAGAAATAAGAAAATATCAAATTTATTCACACTCACACGCTACTCAAAATAAAGTGACAGATATGAAAATAATGAAATTATACGAATAAGAAAATAACAAGTAAGAGTGATATATTCGTCTATGGTAGATCCATTTTGCTTCATATAACACTTATTTGTTTAAAATTTTATTGCTGTACTCCTATTTTTAATTCAGTCATGAGCGTTTATATCGAATTGTATCGTTGTACTTAGCTTTAAAGTAATTTTCTTAAGGTGGCCTTAAGAAGTTTAGGGTGAGTTACTGGTCCATTCCGCATTATATTCGGTAGGAAGATTTAAGTTCCAATAAATGTTGCTTATGTCGAATTTCATAACTGTACTTGTAGTTTTAAGCCAGTTAAAGTAATCTGAAGGGGACCTTATATGGGGGGTAGGGTCAATTATGGAGGCTATGTTTATGGTTTTAACAATTTTCAAAATAGTTAATATTACAGATTTGTGTCAGTAAAATTTTATTCTTAAAAATTCGGTAAATATAACCGATTGAAATTTAGCATAGGATCGATTCAATCACCAGTATTAACGGATGATCTAAAGCTAAATATTTTGATTATAATAAAAAAATGTTTGGAGTTGTAGCCAATAATTGGTTAAAATTTTTATCAAATTCTATAATGATAAAAAATCATAATTCGATGTTCACAATCGACCAACAATAGTATGTCTTATAGAGATACTTACTAACTTCTTTATTTGTATGTAACTGCAAGTGATGTTTATTTGTTTTTAAATTGCATGGAACTAACAAACATTTCTATTAAGAGGAAAATCTGCTGTTGACACAATCTACTGAATAGTGTCAACAACACAAGTAAGAAGGAAAAGAAATATACAGACTAGCAAAAAACTAAATAGAAAAACGGGTTAATTTTGTACCATTTTAAATGTCAAATTGACTTTTTAACTGTCAAATTTATGCCTCAATCATCGTGGACAAACAGAGAATTGCAAGTTTGTTGACACTTTTGTATAAAAACGTTCATTCGCATTCACTTAGTGTCCATACCAAAATACAAAAAAAATATATGTATCTCATTCGCAGACACACAAACGAAAACAAAATAAAATTCATAAATAACAAAACATTCGTGTAGTGATAAATGTATGGTATGTGCATTAGAGGTGTTCACAAAATATCGATTTTGCTCAGATGCGTCTTATTTTGTTTATTCATGTCTAACACTTAATTGTGTAAAATTTTAGTCAAATCCCAATAAATTTTATTTAGACATTGGTAAACAAAATAAGACCCATTCAAGACAAATCGATATTTTTGGGGCACCTGTAGTGTACATATATTGTAAAATAAAAAACAAACTGTATGAAGTTGAAAAAATAATTCAATGCCAGAGTTGTGAATGAACCATTCATATTTGAGTTTAATTCGTTACGAATTGCCTAAATTTTGAATTAATTATTTTCACAAAAAAAAAAGAATTGAATGAAATTTGAATTAATTGAAATGAATTTGGTAAAAATTAATTCCAATTAATTTCCAGTTGAAATGAATTTGTCAAATGAATTGCAATTCATTTCCAATTTAAATGTATTTGTTGAAGTGAATTGCAATTCATTTCCAATTCGTTTGAATTGATTTTAAATTTATTTAAATAAATTATAACAATGTATTGCACTTTAAATGAATGAAATAAAAAATGAGTTGCAATCAATCAAATTCAAAAGCAGATATAGGGGAGAATAAAAAATGGAAATTTCTTCAAACAAAATGAAAATATTCTGTACGATAATTGAAAAGGAATAAACCTACAGTGTAGATTTATTCCTTTTCTAATTCATTTAAATTAATTTAAAATCAATTCAATTCAAATGAATTGCAATTCACTTCAACAGGTTCAATTAAATTGGAAACGAATTGCAATTCATTTGACAAATTCATTTGAATTGGAAATGAATTGCAATTCATATTTACCAAATTCATTTGAATTAATTCAAATTTCATTAATTTTTTTTTGTGAAAAGAAACAAATTATAATTAATTTGAATTGGAAACGAATTACAATTCATTTGAATTGGAAAAGAATTGCAATTCATTTTAATTGACACAAATTTCATTCAATTCATTTTTCACGAATTTATTCAAAAATGATTGATTCATTTATAGCTCTGTTCAATACATACTTTTTAGGCGAAAAAAAAATATTCAAGCTATAAATAGAAGAAGAGAAAATTATTTTCATTTGAAGAGCTTACTATATTTTACAATTATTTTCTTTTATGTTATTTTATTATTTTTTACAAATATTTGTGTACATAAACTGAAAACTTAAGAAATCGTAAAAAAACGAACAGACTTAATGTCTCGGAAGAGATCTATATTAGTATTCCACATAAAATACAATTGGTCAAAAACTGAAGGACATATAAAATTTGATATTAAAAAAAAACAAAAAGCCATAACTGCCTCATTTTTTCAGTTTTCTTATTTAGCCTTAAAAGGCTAAAATTTCAGAATTATTATAACAATGTAAAGAAATTTTTCCAGATTTGAAAACTCCAAGAGTTTTTATAAGAAATGTTTACAATTATTAGTCTTTTTATTTGTCATAATTATACTGTGTTCATTTTTTCAGTCATGGAAATATAACCATATACGATTACCACAACGTGATAAAAGACCAAAAGACTGGTTGTCTCCCAGTTTCATGCCCAGGCTCAAACCGTTCGGAATTTTGATTTAGTCTCACAAGCAAAGTTGCAGCTCTTGTCATAAAGAACAAAAATTGTGAATCAAAAAAATGTCGTCTTCATTTTTTCATGCAAGTAGAAAGTTTTACATTGTGAAATTACACTGTTTTTATTGACGACACCTATACGTATACGTGTTAATGATTTATCGATATTACAAATATTAAGTATAGGCCTAATTTAGAGAAGCACTTGTAATATTTTTTAACACGTAAAAAATCGATTTTTTTTTTGTTTTTTTGCGATTTTGATCTTAAAGATGAATCGTAATTTTGAAAAGAACAAGAACATGTTTGGTACATACGCAGTTTTTTTGCAGCATTTAATGCAAATATAAACATTTTAACAAATTCTGTAAGAATTGGTAATTTTGGATCTAGTGCCATTCTTGACCTTTCAAATATCATTGGTTTAGGATATCATATGGTCGGAATGCCGGAATATAATAGTTTATTAGATAAAATTAAAATATGATATGTTAATATGTTTCCTGTTTATATACATACATACATACATACATATGTATATATGTACATAGAAACATGAGATCTATTTTTTGCGATTGCAGCAATTACAAGATTATTTTAAACCGAAAATAGTAAACATTTTTAAAAATAGATAAAATTATATAACAAATATCAATATTTTGATTAATAAATTTAAACCTATCGAAAAATGTTCCTTTTTAAAATACATATTATAAATAAATATATACATACATATATATATATACATATGCACATAGATAATTATCTACTGCTTACCTGTACCAGGGCATCAGTTGTGATTTTATGATCATGTAAACATTTACAAAATACACAATTAACTGTAACGATTTAATTTAAAGACATGACTTATGAAATATATTTAATTTTTAATGTTACCGTGGTGAATAGAAAAAATATAAGCCAGCCCTTGGTCCATAACCGACCCAGGCCACTAATATGACCCTGTAGAATGTAATACTGCACTGCCACCAATAGAGTACCAATAATACCAAATGCTACTAAAGTTAATAGTGAAAACATTTGGCAGTCTTCCTAAAAATAAATTTAATTACAAAGTAAATCAGCAACATAAAATAAAAAATACCTGTAGGGCTCTACGGCTCATATTACGGGAGTACCACATGCGTAGGGATTGATAGAAAGTATATCTGTAAAAAAAATTACAAACTAAGTATTACTTGACTTTGACCAATTGAAGTTTTCATTTATTGTAAACATTGTTATCAACGTCATTTTAATCATTAACCAGATTACATTTAGTTTAAAGATATTTAGAAGATTTTTATTGTTTGTATTGTTCAATTAAACGACTAAATATATTGAAATGTGTGCCTCTAGAGAATAAACGGAGAATGCATCAAAAGTATAAATTAATGGGAATGTAATTTGTAAAGAAATTGCTTGCGATTTGCATATTTTAGTATTTGTTTAACTCGATTTCCTTCGGTAATCAAAGTGCACAGAAAAAAATTACGACAAATCAATTGTCATATTAAATACGAAATTTGACAATACAATTAATTTTTTAATTGAAAAGGCACCAACAATCGTTTTTGTAAATACAAAAATAAAAATTGTTACTTAAAATTGTTAATACTCAAAAAATTTTTTTAACAACCAGTTTGTAATATTGAAAAATTATTTTATTAACTATCCATAATAATGTTTTAAAAATTAAATTTCTTGTATTAAATATTTCTATTGTTATCAGCAATAATGAAAGAATGCATTTTTAATTTGGTTTTTATAAAAAAATATATTCAATTTATTTCGTCAAAATATACAGTTTGAAACAATGGACAATAATTAAAATTTTAAGTTTATCTTTATAATGTACTGTGTAATATTCTATATAATAATCGAAAATATATATTCACTGATTAACTACATTATATATTAATCTTGTACCACTTCCCCCAGACCACTGGTCCATGTTCCTTCTCTCTATTACATGGTACTTGGTGAATTCTCTCTTTAAAGACTTCGTCTTTGCTATCACGATTTAACCAAGGCAGACGAATACGAACCTTTGCTGCCGTTCATTGAAATTTTCTAAAATGACCACAAAATAAATTTTTCTTAGTTCGAATACGGGGAGGAGATGTAAACATGTATTAATGTCAAATTGATTTTTACCTTAACATAGAAAAGTTTCATAATTTAAGCCAATCCTGCAGCTGTAGGTTCTTTGCCTCCTGTTAATCCCGTCACTCCCTAGAGAAATGAGAGATATTAAAAAACGCTTTAAGATAAAAGTTAGAAAAGGATTTTAAATTAAATTTACAGCAATTGGTTTTTCCTTGGATGTCTCCACCTCAGGAACATGAAAATTAATGTTGCTAAAGAGTAATGTTTATGAATCGATGTTACTTTCTTTCTTGGAAGGTTATATAGTGTTGCTGTTGCATTATGGAGATCGATGACGTGTCGCTTTTGGTAGATTGCTGGCTTCTGCACTAGCAAGCCAAGCTCACACACTTTATCCACAAATTTCTTTTTAACAAACTCAGGCAACACAGCACTCAATTTAGAAATATTTTCCAACGATGTTTAAGCATAAATCAAATCATTTTGTTCCGCGGAGTTATGGAACTGACTGGTGGTCATTCTTCCAAATAAAAATCTAAAAGTGGTAAAATTATTTATGATTTAAAAATTAATATGTATTTTGACCACTCTACATACCTTAGAGATTGCTTTTATTCATTTAGTTCATATCTTGCATGCGGAATTTCCTTTTTGAATTTTAGATTATTTTAAATTTTTTTTAAATTAAAACTTTTTGACAATTGTATTTTCTATTTCTTTTATTATGAATTTTGAGACAACTTAGGAAAATTGTAAATATGACCAATTTACAAACATTTTAATAAAAAAAATTGTTAACAAAGTCAATTGATCCTTAACATATTTATATAATTACTTAATAAAATTTGTAATTTTTTTCTGTGTGTGGTCGATCGGTTAACAAAAAACCATAAACTAACAACATTCTTATTTTCATAAAAACAGTATTTAAATACATACGTTGCAGATATGTAGTACAGCGAAGGACTAGATAATGTCTATACTAATCACCATCTAAATGTGATAAGGACGAGTAGTTGCAATGGCGGAGTATGAAATAACCAATAACAACTACAGCAGCAGTCTTTGTTTTAATGTTATAGATCTAACGTTGAAAAAAGTATATTATCCATGTTTGTGGAGCTATTGGCAGTTAAACAGTAAATTGTATAGTGTTAAAACTGTGGGTATGGTATCTTATGATGTAGCTGTTGCTATTATTATGTGAAATTTCAGGGTCGTAACATACAAAAACCTCAAACAATATTGTGTTCTGGTTAAAAATAAAAAAACGAGCAATGAAAAAATAAAATTCATTCTCTATCTAGCAAGCTGAAAAACATTGTTTTGAAACAACAAATTACGAATGATTTTTAAAACATATACATACATATAATGTACATAGAATGCTGTGAGTATATAGAATCATGTGCAACATTATAAAAATACGAGTGCCCCAGAAGTAATATTGCCACAAATACAAGCCGTACAAACACATACACATACATATCTACACAAACAATATTCCTGCAAGCGAGAACAAGTCGTAAGCCCATACAGTACCTACACAGAAGTCAACCCAGTCAGCAATTTTGTAAACGACTTTGTAATGACGCACTTCTGTATTGTTGGTTAACTTTTACAGACCAACTAAACTAGCTTACTAACAACTTAGGTGCAGAATTGCATCAAAATTCTTATAAGATAAACATTGTTTTAACCAGGATTAGCAGCCAAAAAGAATAATGGTATCGATATTCAAATTATTATTTAGGTATCTGTATTTAAATTATATCGGTATTGATACCGATATTAATGTTAAAATGCTGAATTGACCCCGTTAAAAATATCAACCACAACTGTCTGGGAAATACGAGCCTATAGTGCGATCGAAAAAAATAGCGAATTGAAGAAGATTAACTTTTTAAATTTTTGTTTGTTTATTTGATTTTTTAAACCTTACTTACAAAGTAATTTATTAAAAAAGTAGTTACTTGTAGTACATATTTACCGAAGTTATTTCGGGATAACTGGGTTGCAGGCACGGTACGTATGTTCATATGTACATGTGGTTGTATCTGGATGCTGTTTAAATTTAAAAACAGGGCATTTTGCTCAACAGCAAAAGCCAACAAATGAACTGAAAAATTGTTTTCAGCAGAACAAACAAACACATTAAAAACATACGAAAAATACATAATCCACATATGTAGATGAAAATATGTATATGAATATATACACATTAGGGTGGCCCCAAAATGGAAGTTGATATTGTTCCCGCGAAAATGAAAATTTTGCTTACTCCACTTTACAAAATGTTTGTCCTGACGTCAATATTTCATGAGATTGACCAAAAAATAAAATTACTCTTTTTAGAGGTTTTATGAATTTTTTAAGATTTTTTGAAAACAAAATATCACTCATTTGCTACAAGACTGTCTAATCCTAAATAGAACGTTCCATGAAAAGCGGCATTGAATGCTTTATGCCATTTTAAAATTCCTTAATTGACTTTTAAATAAATTATGGAATTTGAAAAATTAAACAAGATTGAGATACAATTGATTAATATATTTTTCGACCAAATTTAAATAAAATTTGTACTTATCAAATATTCGTAAAAACATGACTTTTAGCTTTAATTTTTCTTTACTCTCACATCGAATGTGAGAGGGAGTAATGAGGGAGTTGGTGTGATTAAAGTCAAGTAGTATACAGTGAGCGACTCGAGTAAAAGAAAAAAATTTTATGTTCGAAATTGGGAAAATTAGCTTCAAAATGTGCTAAACTATTTTCTTTTTTAGTTCTTTTTACCCAACGGATAATTTAAAAGCATCAATGAATGACCAACATTACTTCGAATTTTCAAATTTAATTTCGAATATTCGAACATAATATATTGTTGTCGTTAGTTTTACTCAATACTTCCAAATTTCAGCATGTTCACCATTTACTAAAAAAAAATTTTAATCGATTCATTCGATTTTAAGTTTTTTAATTTTTTACATAGAAAATTTGATAGTTTAAAAATATTGAAAATTTTATAATTTCTCGAAAAAAAAAATTAAAAATCAAAATTTCTATATCTTTAATTTGCGTGAAATATTTAAAAATTAAAAAAAAAACTTTAAAAATTAACCTTTTTTCATTGACCCATCCATTCCATTTGGTCCAGGATAAAGTTTTGAGAAACGCTATCTTAGAATTTTTTATTTTCGGTGGGAACGTTAGTACTTTAGTACGGGGCCGCTCTAATGACATAAATATGTTTAATGAAAATTATATAGAAAAATAAATGTATAAAAAATCAACAATATTTTGTAGCAAATATGTACATTAATTCTTTACTTGATGAAGGCAACATTCGGAAAAGTTATAAAAATTACAGAGAGGAGTATTTAGTATATAAGAAAATATTGCAACAAAATATATTTATGTATGTGTTTATTTTAGTACATACAAATTAATTGTTACAATTTGTGTTCTATAAATGTTTATTTGTTTATTTATGAACAGATTTATTACTTGTATTTACTTGAAAATTAAATGTATAATAGGGTAATCGATTATTCGGTATTTTTAAAAGCCATTCGTATAGTAGGCATTTGAAAAATCCAGTTGTTACTTTGGAAATTTCCAAATTAATAACAAAAAACGTCCTTGTAGTATTACCCAATAAAACATACCAATACTTTGAGAAGGGCAACTCAATCATTATATTCTGTGAATATATAATAGTATTGAGATTTCTTTTTTTAAATTTCCACTATAAATTTTAACATTTAGATAAAAATTTAAATTTTTACTACTTTTATGCTCATAAATACAATAATTGAAATATGTATTACCTTAAGATAAAGATTAATAATTTTTTTAAGGAGAATGCTTTGTACATAGTTGCAAATAATGGTTTAAATTTCTTGGTATTATTCCAATCAATTTTAACTTTATCTTTTTAAAAGACAATTAAGAAAACTGTTATACATATACATAGCTCATTTACTACAAGATCAGCATAACTCAAAAATCTGATTTTTTTCAACTGAAAACTATGCCAGTTTATATAAGACATATAGATATTAGGCTTTGTTTCAAAAAACAAAATACTTCCCGATTTCGTGATATCAAACCTTTTTAGAATTGTATGCTAAGGTCAAAGTTGAAATATGCTTAGCAGATTTCGATCTATTAAAAAATGTTGATCCAAAAACATTCATAAAAGGTATGATATCACAATTTCAAAAATATCGCGTGAAGCCTAATAGTTATACATACATATAAACAATAATTCAGTTTTAGCTCACCTTAAAGTTTGTTCAGTATTGTATTGAAACTGGCATAATTCACAAGTTGTACAACTTGACACGCTGATCCATCTTTCTAGGCAATCAATATGGACATATGATAGGGAGCCTTTACACAAACATGGGGAAACAAGTCTGTCAAACAAAAAAAGAAAACAAGAAATTATTTTTTTTTAATTTTTTAGTAAAAATTATGTTTGAGTTGCTATGTACATCAGAGGATGGATCTTATTTCATTCATTAGTGTCTAAAACTAACTGGTGTAAAATTTTAGCCAAATCGGATAACGGGAACACGTGCCGGAAATCGATTGAAAAGTGTAAAATTGGGAAATTAACATGACACTAATATTCGCAGCTAAACTATATATATTTTTTACTAATTTATTATTTAATCTATTACCCATAAATCCCTATGAGATATCGCAAAAAATTAGAAATAGTTTAACAAAGTTTCAGAAAAACAAAAATTTAAATTTTGAAACGGCCGTTTAAAAACTCAAACTTTTTTAACCTTGAGAACAGATTTATATTATCTTATAATGACAGAAACTCAATTTGAGTAATTTAAGAAATATTTTATGTAAGAAAATTATTTTATTATAATATTTCCCAAAAGAAGTATATATATATTTTTTTTGTTACATTTCGCATTTAAGTGCTTTCAATAGCTTAGTCTACGTACATTAATTTTCCTTTACAATAAAAAGGTAATTATTTTTTTAATGGTAAAATGTTAGCAAAAACTGAAAAAATCGATATTTTCCCATTGTAAATGCACCTCAAACTTCAAAGCCGTTGCGGCACCTGCTAATGATTTCCTATTAGGCTAATTTTTTATATTACATAGTTATAGAACCCTAGTGGGGGCAGGCAAAATTCGCAACTTTGTGTTTTTCGAACCACTCTACTCTACTCTACTCTACTCTACTAAAAAACCGACAATTGTCATAATATAGTGTTTGTAATTAATTGAAAAACTTAATTATACCCTATACCAGTGTTGTGGGGAGGATATATTGCACCTACCAATCAGCTCAGAATAATTTCCTGAGTCGATTAAGCTTTGTCCGTCTGTGTGTCCATGTAAATTTTGTGCGCACTTTACAGGGCGCAATTTTCATTGACCGAAGGTCGAAGCCTATTGAAAATGAATAAAATTCCTGAAAAGGATTGTGCCACAAAAATTGGCAAAACTTAGTTTTGTGTAAGTATAAATGATACTGCCGATTTTAGTAATGATCGTGCCTCATTTGACCCTAGCCCCCATACAAAGTCAACTTCAGAATATGACTTCAAGATCAATAATTCACACTAGTATCATGACGAAATTCCGCATAAATAGCTTTTTTGTAAACGTAAATACTTCTCTGGATTTTCACTGTTGTGACATATGCGGCACGAGTAGGATTCTGTAGATTCTAAGGAAGCATTATCATTTTTGTTGGCATCATCCAAAGTTGAATCTTGATTACAATACTTGGATGTTCCTGGTGAGATATCTATAAAATAATCTGGTATTCTGGATAAGTTGTCAGCTTGTTGTGGAAAATCACTCTCATCAATATTTAGTTGGTCCTCGAAGTTTGGTATTGTTTTTCGAACTACAGGACAACTCAAATAATGTAATTATTGTAAATCTATTCATTAGATAAATACACTACCAGAATTGTTTGAAATGTCCATTTTATTTTTATAAACGTTCCAATTTTAATTTATTTCTTTAGTTAAAAATCTATTATATTTTTTTTTGTTTAAAAGTCAAAAAATAATTTGAGAAATTTAAAAAATTGTATTTTATATTTTTAGAATAAAAATAGATGTAAAGGTGTGTGAAGCAATGATTACAACTTCAAAAACTATGTCTTTGGGTTTTAAATGAAACTATTTCAAAAACACTTTACCTTTTCATTATTAACTCTTCAACATTTCAAAAATCTTTTTGTTTAGTTGTTGGTTTTGTGTTTTTTTGTGCACTTTTAAAAAGAAATACTGAACAAATTGCCCTATTAGAAGGATGTAAGTAATAGTAGGAGGTTAAGGAGTTGGTTCTTTTATTTGCTGTCAGTTCAGAATTTACTTAATGGTGTGATGGTTAAGACTGTGTTGTGTATTAAACCCTGTAATTTGTTTATCTGGAGTTTTCAAGAAAATCTTTTAGCAAACTTTTATTTTGTCTTGTTTTCTGTTGCTTTTTATGTTGCCAATGTATTGCAATTTGTAAAGTTAACTCCCACAGTGTATTATCAAAATATTTAGTTTTTTTTTTCTCCTAAAATGAGGTATAAAATTAAATAGTTTTTCAATTTTCATCCGTGCCCCCGCCCTGACAATCCTTCTATCTGCAACTGCATTTCGACTAGTTCAAGTGTGGATTGTGGCAAACTATTTGGACAAAGCCATGACTGTGTTGTGTTGCTGTATTGTGGTTGAGAAAACTTTTCACTTTTGGTTTTTAATGAATAATTTAAGTGTAACTGTATTTTAAATGTTGGAAATGTTTTTCTAAAAAGCAACAAAAAAACAATAGAATAGAAAACAATATTCAATACCCAGCAGTCTAAACTTTTATTTAACAACACAATCTAAAACAAATATTCATACAAACATATACTAAACCAAAGTTTGTACTCGTATTGCATTTATTCGTTTTTTAGGAAGAGTTTTGAATTTCAAATATGATTTTTGAGAGTATTAATATTGAACACAAGAAGTATTATGTTTCTGTTAGTTAAAGTTTTAAATAATTAAACCAGTTTTGGTTTCAGGCCGTCTATATTTTATAATGGGAGTTATCTCAATGTCTGGTTATTTTTTTATCCCAACGTTAAATTGACAGTTTTTATACAAAATTATTTTAAAAGGCAGAATATCTAACTGGAGATTAAATACGATAACATAATTTCACTGTGATAAAAAGTGACCAAAAAATTATGCATGTGGTTTCATATGGGCAAATCCATACCATTAGAGTAGTATAGATATTGAGGGATTTATATTCATATAAAACTTAGTTATACCATACTTATCATAATACTAATGCTAATAAGTGAGTTATGGATGTTTAAGTGTTTTCTGAAATTAAACTTTGTATGGAACTATGGTCAAATGAGATCCAAATTTAGTTGAATTATCTTAAAAGTTAAAAGGGTTTTATTTTTTTCAATTCAGTGGCAATTCTGTGTAGTTAGGGTCCATAGATTAGGAATAAATTTTTAATTTTTTCTCAATCACTTCCTTAAGTACTTCTTTTATAGCAAACGAAATGAAAAAGCGATATTCTTGAAGTTTCAACATAAAAAACATAAAGTAACTGTTAGTTAAAAATGCAGAAGGAAGAAAATAACAACAACGTACAACTTTATATGATTCCCAGTAAAAATTTACTCCGAAAAGTAATGAGTTAAAAAGCCGGATTCCACTATTTCTTCAGAAAACCAACGACCAAAGTATACATCATTTCGGAGGTGGATATCAGTTAATATTTTTTGTTGAGTAAAAATACTTATTTAAGTAATTAAGTTAACAAACATTTAAGTCGTTTTCCTTCAGTAAACATTAACAAATACAATTTCCATTAATGGATCTTTAAGAAACCCTTCTTCGCTTACTTAAGACCCAACACAACATGTTCTTGAACAAAAAAGATAAGTAATATTGTAAAAAAGGGGTGATTGTTTAAACGTGTTTACAAACATCAATGAATTAAAAACAATAAGAGCCTAATTAAGACCTTTTTCTTACACACTGCGAAGGAATAGTGGTCAAAACTGTTGACCTTTTTTGTTGAGACAATAACGAGTTATTTCTTGAATAAAACAGCAGCAACAAAAATCTTAAATAATTTCTTTCTTTTTGATAGTCTTTGATTTTTACGGTAAAATGTTATGCTTTGACGCCACTAATTTTTACAAGCTTAAATATAAATGTTAAATAAATTGAAACGAAAAAAGTAGAATGTTGCCGCATTAAAACGCAATGTTTAACGCTCGAGTGCGTTTAATGTTTTCGTATTACGTGATTTAAGATTGTGGGTAAAAAAATTTTAATACTAACAAATTTGTTTACATAAGAAAAGGATAAAATGTTTTAAACCGATAAAAAAATATGTATGTATATACATAAATATTTTTGGACATTTTTTGCTAGGACCAATAGGTAAAAAGTTACACTCATTTGAAAAAACCCTGTATGACCAAAATGTCCAGCTATGACCCCTTCTAACTCCGGCAGTTCTTGACCGATATTTATGTCTTGGATGATATTTGCACTAACCTTGGTGCAAATATCATCCAAGTCATTAGACACGAAATTATTAGGCTTAAAACAATATTTTTGAAATTGTGATATCTACTTTCTATGAAAGTTTTTGGGTCAGTAGTAATATTGGCGTAATTATTTTTTAAAACTTCTTCATCTGCATATCTGCAGATGATTTTGGACGATATTTTATGTAGACCAAAAATTGTGTTCTAGATCGAATGTCTAATTTTATAAATAGGTTGCTATTAGTTTTATGATATGTAATATAAAACAATGACATAAACAAACTTGACTTCTTGACTTTTAAACTCTTAATATTGAATTCCCTATAGTTTTAAGTTTTTGCTTTCAATTTGTTCACAATTTGTTTGCGGTTGTTGCTTTTTGTTTTAATAGAATTAACATTTACATTAAATAAATAATTTGCACTTCCTTTCAAAAAGTTTATAAATATAACAAGGACAACACTGATTTAAAAACTTTTTAATATAAAGTTATGAATAACAATAATATTTTGGTTAAATATTAATTACTATAAAAATATAACAAACACAATAATACATACTTATATATGTATATACTATAACCACCCCGTTTGTAGAACCCAGCAAAATTCAAGTATCCCTAAGCTAAACTGTAAAATTCGCATTAATACATTTGTAATAATTTTGTTCCTAACAACCTAAGGAATGCATTAGTAATTATCGTCACCTAAAATGAAAAAGGGCGTTTTCATAATAAAGAATTTAAGTTGAATTATACCTTGCCTCAGATATACTTAAGCCATTTATTGTTGAATAAAATTATGGACATATAAATCAAATTTTGATGAGGGCTTTGTACAGGGTCATGAAGATTAGTATGGAACTTGGTTTCGCAGCTTTTCGTCGAGATACGAGTATATTTTCAATAGGCTATTGGTATACTTTAAGGTGGGTAAAGGACGAATATTACTTTGAATATGAATGTGCCGCGGACATTGTCTATTGTGTTATTTTTTAGGACTTTCTGACTTGTGGAAATTATTAATTTGTTGTTACGCCATTTTTGAATTACATGTTATTAAAAATGGTGTTTTTGACAATAGAGTTCTAAAAATTTAAGACAAGATGTATTTGGATGATTTACCTTTTTTTGTTGTAACCCTTTTTGCATTTCAGGTGACTTTATATGTAGGTTTTAATTCGTGAGCAAAAGTACTGTAAACTATTATAATTTTCTTCAAGTTGTTTCTAGTAGCTCAATGCTCCATATTATGCTGGGATATACATACATTTCGTCACCTGAAATACAAAAGGGCGTAACAACACTTTTGAAAATTTTACAGGAGAGGTAAAAAACTAAACAAAGTTAAAACTATTGTTGTTATAAAAATGTATCTTTCTTCATCTGACTTGTGGAAACGTTTAATTTGTTGTTACGCCCTTTTGAATTTCATGTTATTAAAATTGGTGTTTTTGACAAAAAAGTTATAAAAATCTGCGACAATATGTATTTCGATGCGGTGGATTCGATTTTAAAATTTTTGCATTTCAGCTGACGATATGTATGTACAAAGGTCGACTTAAGGCTCAACGCCTTAAATATATATGTACACAGAGAAAACAGATTCGTTGTCACAACCGAATTTGTTTCCAATCGAATTTGGTCGGTTACGTGTACTATCACATGAATCGATAGCAATTACCGAATATTTTGTTTGCCTACACTGTATTTTTAGAACATAGGTTAGTTGTTATTACCGAATTTTCGATTGTAGTCAGTGAATTTTTAGTGGGCGCAACTACTGATTTTAAAAAACAATTCGGTTGTGGAGACCGTGACTATTAATATTAGGAACCAATTAAAATATACATATGATCATATTGTTTTCAATTTATATTTTATTTATTTATTTGTAAATATTTTTTTTACACAATTTTGTTATTAATTGCTCGATTTGAATCCCTCTTAAATCGACTTCTGGTATACTGTGTTTGATAGGCAGCACAGCTAACAATAAGTAGGGAAATAGGTGCACCACGCAATTGAACATCATTAATCTGAAAACAAATAAAATTATAAAATACAATTTTTCTTTAACTAAATCAGATTTTCTTACATTACAACATTAATCTGTTTGATTTCACCTAAATGATGACAAAAAATTACAATATGTTAAGTTCTTCCATTCATGGTCCAATGAAAAAATAAGCGACTTTATTGGTAGCATACCGACAGCGTCAAATACATATTTCGGCATCAGCTTGTGTCAATCAGCAGCTACTACTTGGATGTTTCACATAAAAGTATTTAGCTGTGATTTCTGTAAATTAAAAATTCAATAAAATTGTGTTCCGTAAATAAGTATCGATCTCGGGAATCGCTAGTTACCTCATAATTACAAATAATTACAAATGAGGGAGAAAATTGTTCCACACATTTTCATAATTCTCTAACAAAAATAAAAATTATTTAGTTGGATATATTTTGTTAATGAATCAGCTTACATTAACTTACTTTGACAATTATTGATATATGTACGTTTTCACTAAATGTATTTCTATTTACATGTAAATTATTTTTGAAATAATAATTTTAAAATTTTATAAAAATATGTTTGTTTTTCTTGAGATTTTATTTTAGAACTAAATTTGTTATACATATGTCAAGAAATAAAAAACAATTTTTTATTGTATTCAGTTGGAAGTGCCGAATAAAGCTTAATTATAATCAATATACTCGAAATTTATAATTTTTCCGTTGCAAATACCGAATTAAGCTTTATTGTATTTACTATAATCGAATTTATTATACTGATGATAGAAATATAGGGAGACAATAACAAATAACCTTTTTTTGCCTTAAATATATTAATATAACCAAATTTTTGATTGCAAGGACTGATATTTCCAATTATAGTGAATAATTGTAAATTTAAATTTGATTGTGCTTGACGAAATAATAAAATAAAAGTTTGAAAAGCTCAAATTGGTTCTACTAACTAAATTAATGGTTATATAAACCTCAGTTCGATTATAGTTATGTATTTTCAGTTCTTATTATAAAGAATTAGATGAATTTATAGACTTTTAATAATTACAATTAATATTCGTTTACATAAACTAATTATTTGTTACTATACCCGATTTCCGATCGATGTTTTTTCTGTGTGTAGATACAAACACAGTCGCTCAGTAACAAAAACATTTGAAATTTGAATTGGTTTAAATTGTGCTTTGTTTTTAGACAAAGTTGTAATTAAAATTAAGTATCAAAACAACAGCAATAACAAAACTAAAGTCATTAAATAAATAACAACAAAGTGCAAATAGGGAGAGAACATAATGTGTACATCACACACTGTAAGACAAATATGTACATATACACATACATAGAAAATGTAAGGGAAGAAAAATCATAAGGAAGTAAAAGTGGAAAAGAAGGAACAGTGAACTTAAGGAAAAGGAAGAGATGAGGAATTGAAATATTAAAATATAAAAAACAATAAAATTAAAAGACACATTTTTTCACGCAATCACACAACAAGAGAAATAATCCCAAAAAGAAACAAAACAAAGTGAAAATGAAACTTTTAACCATAAAAATAAAAACCAATTTGAGAAAAATAACAATTTTACTAGAACAACAACAACAAAACACGTCTAAGAAAAGGAGGATTATATTAAATATATACATTCATATGTAGGTATTTACTAGGGTAATCGATTATTCGACATTTTTCAAAAACCGGGTTTCGACATATCGCTCATTTACACAAGACTCGTGTAATGCAAAAAAAAAAATCGTTTCCAGAAAAATAGCTTTTGATGTTTATGACATTTTACTATTTTTCAAATATATGTATGTATCTTAAACAAATCAAGGTACTTGAAATGTTTCTCATCTGAATTGAAATTTAATTTTTATTAACTAATATTCGTGAGTTTCAATTTCTACGTTTACAACAATAAAATCGATCTCACACCGAAAATAATAGGCATATGTATTTGAAATTTTAAAGAACTATATGAAAGACTTTATTAGTATGACGCATGTTTTTTAGCACTCAGTTTTTACTTATACACAGAGTGCCATCCTAATATACATACATACATCTGAGCGTAGTACTTTCGAAATATACTTAGGCAAATAAAATCTTTATTGTGTTTTAAACGAAAATAAAAGAATAGCAAATCTAAAAAAATACTCCAAAAAAAAAAAAAAAAAAAAAGACTGCAACAACAAATAAGATTATTTACAATTGTGAGTATGATTCGCTATTTTGAAGACATTTTTTTAATGTTTATGTAAGTTTTTCTTTTATCTTCACCCCGGTTTTGAGAAATTTTATGAAGGTGACATTGTTGTTGATGATTTTATTTTGTGTCATAAAACCCTTTTCCCTAAAATCTTCCATTTGCTACATTACCACTAAGATGTATGTAAATATAACTACAGGCTTTAAAGCTTTACACGAATATCTTATTATATATTTTGTGTAAAAAATAGATTTAAAGTATATTAACGCATTAGAAAACATTCTGTATATACATACATATCTTCATATGTATGTAGATAAATAAATAAATATTCGTAACGAACTTTACCTAATAACATATACATATTTAAAGTTAAAATTCCCAGTTAAATACAATCATATATGGACCATATATGAACCATATACATACATATATCCATTATACATACATATGTTCATATCCGAAAAATGCTATATAGAACATGTCATATATGGGCACATACATATATGACATATGTACATATATGGAATTATATATGAAAAAATTTACCATATATGAAAATATGTATGTATATGCTTCATATATGAATTCATATATGGTTTACACATAATCTTTTTTAGCTGAGTTGCTAAAAATGTTATTTCGCCTTTTTTTAGGTTTCATGGATTAGAAAACGAGACTTACATATCCTTACAGCGGGTTCCACAACGTACACCTCAGATCAACGATTTCAGGTAATAACTGCCAATTTTTATGACCAGCTTAGAAATCATTTTATTAACACATTTAACCGACTTCCTTTATGTTTCTTTAGGTTTTGCGTCCCGAAAGTTCCGGCAATTGGACCTTGCAAATAAAATACCCACAGCCCAGAGATTCTGGCATTTACGAATGTCAAATTAATACCGAACCAAAAATGTCACTGTCTTATACATTTAATGTAGTAGGTAAGTATTTTTACATGATTTATACATTTAGCAGAGATATCATTCGAATAACAATTATTCGAATAAATGAGAAAAAAAAAAAAATTTCTTTTCGAACGAATAGTTTCTTTTTCAATTTAGAATAAAGGATAATTCGAAATTTTTTTCGAATTTTTGAATAATAATTTAAGCTGTTAAAATTCAAACAGAAAATAATTTTTGCAATTTATAAAAACTTTAAAAATGTAATACTTCCAGATTTAAAGTGAAAAGCGTTTGTTCATAATCGATAAACTCAGGAACCACAGCATCTAAGAGGAGTGTTCCTTTGAAGTTTTATGTTTGTTTTGATTTAAATTTAAGTTAATTATTCGTTCGAATAATCGAATAATTTTTAAAATTTAATCGACTACTCCAGTGAAAAAATATTGTATTTTATTCGAATAATTGAAAACAGTAATAATTGACAACTCTAATATTTAGTCTTAGTACCTCCACAATCTCAAAAGTATTTTTTTCATCTTAATACTTTTGTCTCATAAGACAATGAAACAAATCAAACATCTAATCACTACTGCAGTCGTCAAATTTTGAAACTTTCGGAGGGGTTAGAAAAATTAAGAATATATTTGTCAACTAGTTCTTGAACGTAGCTGTCTGATATTAGCAAGAAATACATACATACATATAGTAAGAGAAAAATATACTATTATTATTTGACGGAGTGTTTAAAGAAAATTTATTATTTCTACTCAAGTACATACTATACATATATATGTACATATTTATATTTCACAACAACATTTTTCATTAGGTTTTACGACCAAAACAAACCGACACTGTTTCATTTTTATTTATGTTTGTCTGAGATGTCGCCATTAAATATGAATGAACGAAATTATCCTGGGAATAGATAAAGTCGAGCAGCTGATTGAAATTATTCACTGATTCAGTGCATCAGCATTAAAACCATAATACACAAGGTCAAAACCAAAAATTGGAGAAAAAAGTTCATCTATATACATATTTATGTATATATATACATATATACTCGTATATAAAACAAGTAAGGAATTATATATAATGCCCTACACCAGTTAAGAGAATAAAATGTGATTTATTATTCATAAGATTGTACCTTGCCTAAGAACTAATTTTCTGAAAGATCCTTTGTATAGGGGCCGGGGAAAATGTGGACCGATCCTAATAAAATTTTGGCGGATGGATCTACTTTTACATAAAATGCATTAGTCTAGGGTCAAATGAGGCCTAATCATTAAAAAATCCGCAAGGTCATAAAGACAAGTATAAAACTTGGTTCTGCAGCTTTTTGTCCATATACGAGTATGCTAAACATAATTATGAAATTATGAAACTTCAGGTAGCTACTTTGAAGATAAAGCAATAATTTGGTACATGATCTTCTATTGTCCCAGGGACGAAGCATATTGAAAATGGTTAAAAAGGGTCCATTATTTCACCTAGCCCCCATACAACTGAAATTTTAAGTAGACGCATTTTGATAGTTGTGAAAAAAGTGTTCCATAACTATGTATCACAATTTCAAAATAGATAAAAATATTAATAATTAATATAACATAAATTGTCCGATTTATAAAAATTAGGTATTTAATAAATCTTTGATTTAAATATAAACATGAAATGTAACATATGGTTTCAATGTCATCCTACATTTCTACGACTAAAAACTGCACAAAAATATTCACTACCCAGACAACATTTATCCAGAATGATTACACTGAAAATATTTTAATTTTTATATCATAATAATTTATATCCTAGTGAGAAATGTTAACCTAAGTTTGTCTTTCCGTTTGTAATTTCTACAATTTAATATAGCGAACATATAAATCTGATAAAGGAGATATGAGCATAATTTTTTATGATATCTTGAATGCTGTAGGTGGAGAATATGTATATTAAAATACAGGTGTTTTGATATGCATTCAAATGTAACTAATAAATAATTGTGTTTTAAAATATTAAAAATTTATATTTTTATTTTTTAGCAATATATTACATTAAGAAATAGTGATATACAAAATGTCTGCTGTGATATACATTCCAAAAAATTTATGGCTTAAAACATTTTTCATTTATCCATTAAAAAACGATTTAAATATTTTTTTTATTCAGACAAAAACCAAATGAATGTATCTTTAGAATAGTTTGCATAGTTTGAGATATTATTTTCTATTTACCTCTTTTAGTCAAACCTTTTTTAATGCTTTCGGATTTGATGGGTTGTAATTGTTGTGTTCAAGAGTGTGTGTACATAATACTGTGTCTTACCACTCTTAGGATCTAATGATAAATGATTTGTTTTTACAAGGAATGAATGTTACATTAAATTGCTGTCTTTATAATTTATTACCAAATACACATTTAAACTTACATATTTTCACACATTATTTCCATTCCCTCGCACATGCTTATTTTAAACTATTTTTGTGTAGCTTAAAAATGTTTCTATAATGTACATTAGGGTATGACTTTTTTACTTTTTTGTGGATCCCGGAAGTATCTTATATTTTTTTATAATTTCATAAGTCATACAACCTGCGAACACGATCTTCATTATTGATTTATTATTGACTATTACGTGGTGATATGTAAAATTTCTGTCAAAAATAAATGATTACCCTAATGTAAATACATATGCATGTATGTACGTCAATAAACATAAAAATAAATACACATGTGGACAGAACAATAGGTGTTAAAGGTCTGCACAAGACAACAATTTGTTAAAAAATATCATGGGTGCCGTCATAAGCACTCGAAACTTTTTTAACAAATTGTTTTCTTATTGTTGTCTTGTGCAGGCCTTTAATAGGTGTTTACAGTGCATTTATTTATTATTATTAAGGTTAGCCGTTTCTAAACAGTGAAATGGTACATAATATTTAGTCCTATTTCGGAAACTTTATTTTAGAGAATGCCAAAATTTATACAAAAATATTTGGTAAGAATTGTTTATTATTTAAGAAGTTATTTCCTAAAGAACGCAAATCGTCTAATGTAATATGAAAAATAATTACAGTCAAATAAACTAATATCATGTTAAGTTAAGTTTAGGGTCTCATTTTATAAAACGAAACGACAAATGTTCAAAAAAAAAATTTTTTGAAAAAATTTTAAAATTTTTCAAAAATATTTGCACTATTACAAACAAAAAATGTTTACCTATTTTTTTGATCAGATGTGTACATACATACATACGTATGGGTCTACATCAACATTCAAATGTTTTATTTAATAGAAGAAGCACTTCTATCAAGTAAATCGAAAGAAAAAAATACAAACAAAATATCAATGTAAATGTATTTTAAATTACAAACATGAAAATTTACTGAAGCATTAAGAACATATTGATTTTATTAATTTATTTCCTTTCTTACTGACTGTATGTGTGTATTGGGATTAACAACAAATGCACAGATATTATCGAATATTTACATTTATCAATGTGCGAATATATACATACATATGTATTTCTACATTAGGGGTATAACCAAATTTACATACATCAAGATACATATATGAATAATAATGTTTGAGTAATTCTGAATATTCAGATCGATTGTATCCAAATAATTGACTTATAAATAAATACTTTTTTTGAAAAAAAAAGTTGTATATAAAAGTTAATGCATTTGCCAAATTTAAAAATGGTCTGTCCATATTTTATCATAGTCCATATATAACGCTCCTAAAGATTACATACATTGTAAAAAAATTCAAAACTAAGATGAAAATTCATCAGAGTTGGTCCACAAGATAGTCTATCTTTTTATGACAGGTGTAGGGTACCATATACTTTCAAAATGGACTCCCTTATTTATTTGGGATTATTAATATACATTACAATGGAAATGAAAAACCCCAAATGTCGTTTTTTCTCATTATTTAAATGGCAATTTTTATATCTTTAGAACATGCGTTTATGTGTTCGAACAAGCGATTTTATTGCCCTAACTCAACCGAATAGAAGGAATGATCACCTGAATGAATAGAATTCAATGCAAAATTGTTCTTATATTTTTGGTTACTTTTTCATCAAGTTTTGTTATATGGTTACTCTTTTATAACTTTATACTAACTTGGTGGATAATAAATTTGGCAAAGTTCTTTTGCAGTAATTGGAGTTTCTACAGTAGATTTCATCATACATTGTTTCATTAAACATACGTACATATCTAAATAAACTTTTCTCTCTATAAATAATATATGAAACAAATAACGCATTGGGGTCTTGAACTCATAAAAGTCTAGTCTAGAACCAATTTTTTAAACAAACTCAATGTTAATTTAGCATTATGATAATTCTGTTTTTTAGAAAATGAAATTTTTCGAATTATCTATTGGAAATCCGATCAAATTTGTATTTACATATTTATGTATGTATAAGTACATAAATAGTTAAATATTAAAAATTTACAGCCGCTTATGGATAATCGAATTTGTTTTGTTAATACAATTAAAATTTATTTATGCTTGACACTTTACATTTTTCTTGCCACAAACCTTTTTAAGGACCACAACAATTGACATAATTTACTTGACGTTATTTCGTTAGTTGGCGGACCAATTTCTTAAATATTTCTTCAAAGAATATCGTATCTAAAATTGCATTGAAGAAAATTTATAAAATATTTTAAATATTTACAAAACACTCAAAATATTTCAGCACTTCGGGTTGTTTTTTTCTCATCTATAACTTGAAAATATTTTTGGGACATCATGATGTTCATTTGACAACCTTAAAAATTTAACAACATTTCACCTTACAATCATTCGCTACCACAACTTTCATTTATTTAAAAAAAGTTTATAAAACTTTTTCTGCTGTTTAATTCCATCATGCAGAGAGCAAATGATTGGCGTTAACAGAAATTGTTGACGTTGTTGCTGCTTATTCTGCTTTTTTTCTTTCATTTAGTCATTTAATGAAATATAATATGTCATGTAGACACCACCGTCATGCCGCTCTACCGGTA